ATAATATTATTATAATATCATATTATATGATAAAATAATAATTTTAAAGTTATTAATATAATTATGATATTATTTGTTATAATATAACTATTATATTATATTATATTATATTATATTACGAGTCTGAATTTTAACTTGGGAAGATTGTAAAATTTAATTTCATTAGGGGTATTATTAGTATTATGAAAGTTTTATTAATTATACTATGCTGATTCCTCCACAATCTAAAAGCTAAAGTTATCTTTAGACTGTTTTTGATTTTGGTTGTAGATTCTTGAAAAATTCTTCAAAAAACACTTGTGAGGAGATTTACCAAACATTAAAATCAGCTTCTGCTACAAGCAGAAGCTGATTTTGAGAGGAAAAAGCAATACCAAACTAAGCCTTTATCTCATCTTGATTGCTTTTTATTTCTCTTCTTCCTTTGTATTTAATTGTCTCGGTGATCATATTTGGAATACAGATTAAGAGATGGAGACCTTCCTATTCACCTCCGAATCTGTGAACGAGGGTCACCCCGACAAGCTGTGCGACCAGATCTCTGATGCAGTGCTCGACGCCTGCCTCGCCCAAGACCCTGACAGCAAGGTTGCCTGTGAGACATGCACCAAGACCAACATGGTCATGGTCTTTGGAGAGATCACCACCAAGGCCAATGTAGACTACGAAAAGATCGTCCGTGAGACATGCCGCAACATTGGATTTGTTTCTGATGATGTTGGTCTTGATGCGGACAACTGCAAGGTCCTCGTTAACATTGAGCAGCAGAGTCCTGATATTGCTCAGGGTGTCCATGGCCACTTTACCAAGCGCCCTGAGGAGATTGGTGCTGGTGACCAGGGTCACATGTTTGGTTATGCCACTGATGAAACCCCTGAGTTCATGCCTCTCAGCCATGTCCTCGCAACCAAGCTCGGGGCTCGCCTCACTGAGGTCAGGAAGAACGGCACCTGCCCCTGGCTGAGACCTGATGGCAAGACCCAAGTGACTGTTGAGTACTACAACGACAATGGAGCCATGGTTCCGGTCCGTGTGCACACAGTCCTCATCTCCACACAGCACGATGAAACTGTGACAAATGATGAGATTGCTGCCGACCTCAAGGAACACGTCATCAAGCCCGTCATCCCCGAGAAGTACCTCGATGAGAAGACCATCTTCCACTTGAACCCTTCAGGCCGCTTTGTCATCGGTGGTCCTCACGGTGATGCAGGTCTCACTGGGCGCAAGATCATCATTGACACTTATGGTGGTTGGGGAGCCCACGGTGGTGGTGCTTTCTCTGGAAAGGACCCAACCAAGGTGGACAGAAGTGGCGCCTACATTGTAAGGCAAGCTGCCAAGAGCATCGTGGCAAATGGGCTTGCCCGCCGTTGCATCGTGCAGGTCTCTTATGCCATTGGTGTGCCAGAACCCTTGTCCGTCTTCGTTGACACCTATGGAACCGGAAAGATCCCCGACAAAGAGATCCTCAAGATTGTTAAAGAAAACTTTGACTTCAGGCCGGGAATGATCACCATTAACCTGGACTTGAAAAGAGGCGGCAACGACAGGTTCCTCAAGACTGCAGCCTACGGACACTTTGGAAGGGACGACCCCGACTTCACTTGGGAGGTTGTGAAGCCCCTCAAGTGGGAGAAGCCAGAGTCTTAGATTACTTGGGAGAACATCATCATCAGTCCCTGCTGTTCGATGCTTTTACTACATTCGGTACTGGATTCTTAATAATTTTGTGTGTTTCTTTGCTGTGCTGCTCTATAATCTAGATGCAATAGCTAAAAAAAATGTTCTAATATCATACTGAAGATGCTCATCTCTATTGTTTCTTTGTTTTGTTTTTTTTTTTTTTTTTTACGTAACCATGTTACCGGTGTCTCTGTAGTTTAAGAGAGTTTTGTCCATGTTGATGACACTGGTAGTAGTAGCAACAGCAGATGCTATAATGTGTTTCTTTATGAAAAACAAAAAAAAAATGTATTTGTTTGAATTATCTCGTCTCTCTCTCTCTCTCTCTCTCTCTCACACATGAATTCATTGAACTCCATGTTTCTTGATTAGTTGTGCTGTTGTAATTTGTCTGGAACAGCTCTTGTGCAGTGTGCAAGCGTAGTATTGTTACATGCCTAAACAATAGCTCAATTGCCATGGCCTTGGGCATTATTGCCTTTGTTTGAAATATTAATCTATTTTATTGTTATCCAATCATAATTTGATTTTTTTTTAAGATCTAATATAGACTAGGTCCGCAAGTCTCTATCAAGGTGTCTGTCGATGAGCTCTGCCAAACCAATCAAGGGCGTCGTTTTGCTCATAACAGGAGCAAGTAGTTTATGCGATAGTTTAGTTTGTTAATTTAAATTTTTAATTCGAGTTGAGATGTGATTTTATATGAGAATTTTTTATTGTAGCGAAAAAGTTAAATGTGACTATTTCTGAGAGTTTTTTTATTGTAATTAAACTCGAATCGGTGAAATAAACGGGGTTTATATTTCATACAAATTTGAGGTCTTTTTTTTGACAAATTTTATAATTTGCTCTTAAATTTTATCACTTGTGTCAACATGTCCTTTGAACTTTAAAATGTGCATTGTGTGCCCTCGAAACTTGATCACTTGTGTCAACATGCCCTTGAGGTTAATTCTGTTAATTTTTGTAACGAAAATGCTTATAAATGCTCTCTGAACTTTGTCACTTGTATCGATATGCCATTTAAAATTTAAAATGTATATATTTTGCCCCTCGAATTATGATGTCTCCAATTTTTTATCCTCTATCTTGATTCTATCAGTTTTTTAAATGAAAATGTTGATATGACCATTAAATTACTAAGTATTTATGATATTTGAGATTCATTGAATACCTTTTCTTCTAAAAATGTTAGTTAAGCACCAATTCTCAAAATATTAATTGATTAGAGACAATAAAGAGGGAAAAAATGAGGAATAAATCTGTATAATGTAATGAATTTTGTTAGTTTTTCACCTAGATAGAAGTGTTCGACAGAAAACATGTTTATGCTTTATACATATACAACATTTCTAAATTTAAATGCGTTCAGGTCATTTAGTTTCTTGTACATTTTTATAAAATAAAAAAAATCAACATAAGCCTTAAGAAATCCATTAACTTAACAAACTTTAATGGTCAAATATCATAGATAATTAGTAATTTAATAGTCATATCAACATTTTCGTTTAAAAAATTAATAGAATTAAGATGGAATGAGAAAAATTAGAGACATATCATAGTTTAAGGGGCAAAACAATCACATTTTAAAATTCATGTGCCATATTGACACAAGTAACAAAGTTTAGAGGGGTGTTTCTAAGCATTTTTTTTTTTAAAACTTAACCCTTAAAGGGTATGTTGACACAAGTGATAAAGTTTAAGGGACAACATATACATTTTAAAGTTAAAGAGACATGCTGACACAAGTGATAAAATTCATGATGAATTTATAAAATTTGTCCTTTTTTTTTTTGTCATTTTCGTGTTCTGTATATTTTTTTTCATGTCCTATATTTGAGGTATTCTATCTTGGATTGTTGCACATTTATATTTGTATGTGTTGTAAACTAAATTTTATGCTTAATCTCCATGACTCCATCCTTTCTCGGTCAATTATACCTGAAAGTTAAAAGGAAAGGATATATTGAAAAAAATCTGAAAATTTAAAACAAAAGGAAAGAGGCGCAAGAGAGTTTTCTGAGTAGGAACCCAGTTTGCAAGGAGAGTTCTTGTGCAGGAAAACTAATAAATCCCCCATCTCAAGCTAAAAAGAGGCATAAGGTTTTCAAAGCTTGGTAAATCGTCTATACTTGTATACATGTCATGTAGCTTATTCTTTTTTTTTTTTTGGCATGTCATGTAGCTTATATTGACTGTACAAAAACACTGTAGCTTTTGTTCCAAACGTGACCTTCAAAATCTTAAAAAAACCCAAACATCAAATTGAGGCTGAGGAAATTCTGTGCATAAGATACTATTGCAAATTCACATATCATAACATATATTATTATAAAAATAATGTAAGTAAAACAAATCCTAAATATAAATTCTTGTGAAATGTGTAATACAAAACCAATAATAATAGGATAATATAATAATCAAGAGAAAAATATAATAATCAAAAGCAAAAAAAAAAAAAAAAAAATTAAGAATAACTAAAAGTTGATCTATTTTTTTCGCTTGTGAGCTCTTAAAAAAATTTTGAAAAGAGAATATGAATAAGGTCGAAGTTGGAAAAAAATTAGTTGTACAACTAAAAATTAAGTGGATAAAGTTTTGCAGCGAAATTTTTGGAGTAACGAGAAGTTTTAGGTGACGTTTAGTTCATGAGTTTAAAATCATAGTTCATGATTTTGATTTTTAAAATTTAAATTTTTTGTGAGAGAAAAACACTGTAATAGAACTAAGAACCATAATTCTAAATCAGACAGAACTCTTAAAACAAACGTCACTTTAGATATCTTAAAAATATTGAGGTAGTGTTCAATTTGATACTTTCCAGGATTGCTGAAGAGCAAAACCGCGGGCTGGGAAGGCACTGGTGTCAAATCTTTTTATTATTATTAGTATTACTTCATTTATGTGTTAGTAACGGCTAATGATAATGTAGCTTATTAAAAAGGTAAATGATAATAATCATGTATTTCCTGTTTGTTGCCTAACAGATTTTTTTTTTAATGTTATTTTTCCTCTTCCTAACTGGAAAATTAGAGCATTAGTATTTATGCATCATTACACTGATGACATTGACGTTAGACATTAACAATACAGCAGAAGAGTCACATAACATTTAAATCTCACATTGTGGTGATTGCATAAAAAAAACATAATAGTATTTTCCGTGAAATTGTATTCGTTTAGCGGCTTTATAAGTGCCACATTTGCAATGCCACACAAAATCGATCCTAGTTTTCCTTCATTCTAATTGGATGCTCTAAAAGTTGTTGGCTTTTACTCTCTTTAAAGGCAACAGCTCTAAAGTTTATTGTAAGATAGAGTTTTATTGGAATATAAACTGAAAAAAAAAAAAAAAAATTTTTTTTTGCAAGAAACAGACCATTACGCTGCTTTCTAACTTTTACCAGCGCAGAATATCACAAAGAGAGAGTATAGAGAGGCAAGACGCCTATCCAGGGTTACACCAAATAAATTAGTAGAGAATCATTATGTCAATAATATTATTGTATCCAAATCACAGCTTCATTCTACACCAAATCTCACTTTTAATAGAGTCTAAACAATGCATACGACGTAGGATCAAACAGCCATAATATTTTGTACGAGGGTCGGCGCAGATGGGGACATCAGCTCGTGCCATACTCCAACCTTTCCCACCTGAATGGCTGGAATACGTACAGCACTTCTGGTGAACTCTTGAATAGAAGGGCTACACAAACACATACGGCGGCAATGGCTACCATTGACAGCATTGCAGGCCTGTACACCACAGAGCTGCTGGTCGTTCCATAAACCAGCTTCCGGTCGCAAAGCCTGCATGGATGCTGATTGCGTCTTAACTCAGTCCTTCCAATCTGGAAGCTGCTTACTGGCTCATTCTGCTTCTGGCTTGTACTGCAGTCGTTAAGGTTGCTGGGTATGTCAACAACCACATGCCCACTTGCAGGTCTCTTGTTAATTTTCCGTTGAATAAGGCGGATGTATGAGTAATGCCCACGCAAACGAGCATAATCTTCAGGTGTAGAGCCTGTGCTGTCGTGAGCACTCTTCCATGCTTCAATTCCCACCTATAACAGACCCGCCATGTTATCATCAGTAGCACAATAACTAAATCAAGTGAACTAGTATCTAACCTTGGTTACCAATAGCAACACCTTTTAAGTTTTTATATATTGATAAATGCATGCAGCAGGACAAGCAAATTTGAAAAGGTGAAATTCTAGGTGAAAAAGTACGTGGTTCAGTCAATGTATTCAGATTGTTTGATATTTTCTAAACTCATTATCTATTACTCAGAAAATTTCAAGAATGGAATATCGATTATTGAATTGAAAATGTTCCTAAAGTGGGCCTACTAACAAACGTTGTTGAAGACTAGTGATGATGATAAAAGTTATAAACAAATGAGTTCATCAAATTCCCCTCTCTGCATGTCAAATATAAACAAGTCAAGGGAAACTTTACCATTCCGGGATCATTAGTTAATGCGTCCAGTACATCTTCTGAACCATCCTTTCCAGCTGCAATGTGGAGTGGAGTTAAGCTTGCAGGGCCAATGACATCCGGTCTAAACAAGAAACCCTTGTTGACTTCATTACTCACTGCCTTGTCTTCAGATTCCGAATTATTCGATAAATTCTTGGGGACATATTTCAAGAGAACTTCCACTAGAGGCCTACTGTTTCTTCTCACAGCTCTGTGAAGAAGACCCATTTCTGATAGTGCCAGACTAATGGAATGATCATCTCCTGCCCCAACATTTCCATCATGTAGAATGTCCAACAGTTTTCTCACTACAGCAGACCAATCATGGTCCATAGAAAACTCCATAATCCACTTGAATCGCTTTAAAGGAAAAGGATCTGCATTAGGATCCAAGTGACCCAATCTAGATCTCAATTGACTTCTGTGAAGAAGCCAACCCATTTCATGAATAAAGTCCACAGCTTGATTGTAAGTATCTGGTTTTCCAGTTCGCCCATGCTCCAGGGAACTCTCAAGCACACGGATCTCTGAACAAACATCCTCCTCCGCAACTATGAAAGGAAAGAAGCTGCTTCCAAGGCCTTGATCTTCAATCTGGATATTCAAGAGTTCCAGTATCAGCTTACAATGGCAAAATTATTGCATTGTAAGAGAATAAGCACTCTAACCAAGTAAAAGAAAAGGAATAAATCTCAAAAAATAACAAGGCACAAGTAGTTTCAAATTCTTCTCACAGCCTTCAAATGATTGTGAGAGCGATCATATGCAAAAGCATCAGAAGAAACACCATGTCTTCTCTTTTCCATTTGAAATGGCAAGTGGAAAAAATAATCTAAAAGCAATGAACTTCACAGATAATTCCTCTCCTATCAACCTCTTTTCTTGTTTTCTAATTGATGCAAATACTTGGTATGCATATCTCTTCTCAACTAATATATATAACCAAACAGAACAATTTTTTTTTAAAAAATGTAGGGTAGAACTATATAGGATTGGAAACATAAGAAAACAACACCTCTATAAAGCCTCGTCCATTTGTTACAGGAATAGGACAAGAAAAGTTGATGCATTGCTCATCATGTTCCACGTTGTCAACACTTTCCATTAACTCGTGAGTGGCTTCCTGAACCAGATACTTCCCTTCTAGAGCACAAAATAACCTGGAAAAGGAATGTAGAGAGACATAAAAGGCTTTTCCAAACAATAGCCCAATGCGTATGGGTTGATAATGAGATGAAATCCAAAGTTACGCTTATTTAAAACACTCAAATATGTTTCTCTTACAAGGGAATTAATACCTTGTGGTAGGCCGAACCAAGTTAATGCCTCTGACTGAAAATTGAGCTCTCTCAGACGCAGGTACTGCAATAGGCTCGACGCTTACAATCTTGCTGTAATTGCTACTTCTGAGAGGCAAGGATGTGTCTACGACAACCTGACCTGTACTAACAAAAAAAATTTCAAAAGTATTCCATTAGGTGATCATGCTCTGAATATTAATATCAATCGGTTAAAAATAACAATAATAATAATAATACTCAAAGGTGCACCAACCATTGTAAATAAAGGCAATTTGATGCTGGGCCCTAATAAAAATCCATCCACTTCTCCAAAAGCTGTCATCTGAGACATCCAGGAGCCTACTCAAACTGGAACTGAGGTCGTCACATAGCTGTTTAAAAAGAAACCAAGAACTATAAGGTATGGTCCATGGAATGAAAGACATCACATACACAGTTACACCAGGGTTACACTGGCAATTTCATGTCATCAAGCTTACCTCTTCCCAGGCTGTCTCTGACTGACGTAGGTAAATTGTTAAAATGATACAACCAGGTCTGATGTAGCTCTCAATTTCAGAAGGACTATGAGATAACCAGTCAAGAATCTGAAAGTGTAAACATTATACATGATGATATCTTGTTAGGTAGGAGAGGAAAAAAAAACTTGGATTTGGCTAATTTGACAGTAATTACCTGTGCGCGCAGGACAAGAGGAAAGTCATTTGGCTCTTTCCCAAAGAGTTTAAAGACAATTCGATCCGTGCGGCTCTGTTATGGAAGAGTAAAGAGATAAACTTTCAGCAGAAAAAAAAAAGGTAAAAAGAAACTAATTATTGTAAGAAAGTAATATCATGATACTTCATGTACAATTTATAAGATAGATTCTTTATCCTAGACTAACTATCAAACAACAACATCCAAATGACCCAAAAACAAAAGTGGGGAACATCAACCACACAACGCTAGAGTGCTTCAAACTATTCCTAATCAAGAGTTAAAAGTTATGTATTCAAGTAGCTTCGACTGATTTGAGACTTACATAGGAGACAATGACCCATGAGGAAAAAAAAAATTGTGAAACAGAAATCTATATAGATTGAAGTATGGAGAGGATGCAAGGGGATATTTGTTTGTGGAATGCCTTTTGTACAGATGTATAGAATATATTTGTGATAAGAATAAAACCTGAGCTTCTCCACTGGAGCTAGAGGGTGACTGAGCAGATGCTGAATCTGAATTTCCACTTGTTTGAGGTGGACTTGACTGATGAGAGTCTTGTTGTACCCATGAAGGGCAATCAAGAGAGCTAGTCACCGCATTCGTAGTCGGAGGCGATCTCTCTGGATCTTCCACACTGTCATCTGAATCAATATATATATCATTCAAATCGAAATTGTTCATCTTGATTTGTCCTGCAGTACCGTCTCTTGCTTCTGAGTAAGATGGAGGGCTATTCAGAATGCTTGGCTTTATAGAAGATGTGGCTTGTATACTTCCACCGTTGGCATTATGCAGATGAACCCCTTGTTGTGGAATTTCGGATACAGAGACCGTTTGATGTTGTTTGATAGGTCTTGGAGGACCTTGAGAACTATTTGCAATAAAAGTAGAAACAACGTCTGAGTTCCCAACTGAAGTCCCTTCATTCAACAATTTTTGAGGTTCTTGCAAGAGTCCAGCAATATTTTTCCCCCCATGGTCACTTGTTTGGCTAGCAAGGCTCCTTAAAAGATGAGATAACAAATCCTGATCTGTAGTCTGGTGACTCTGGTCAGATCTATTTGCTGCATCATGGAAGAACAGTTCACTTAGACCAAAATAGTATACCCATCATAACAAAGTTCAAAGCAGCAAAATGTTATCAAGGACATCAAAGACAGCAAAACATAAACATCAAAGATCAGCTCGCTACATAATTCAACTTCAATCTTCAGGATTAGAAGTTGGAAAAATTGCTTCTTCTTTGTGTCCATAGCAATATGTGCTTATTCCCAGTCTTATTTGCTACAATTACGAGTTTCCTATATTCACATCTGTCATCGACCTATATTCAAACCAGATAAACAAGCGAACATGCAAGGAAATATCGACCACATAAACAAATGAACCCCCACACAAAAAAAAAAAAAAACAAATCTTGTAACTGGAATAGCTGCATCGAGTTCACTCACAATGCATGTTGGACAGTATCCTCAGTAGACTTATCAATAGATAACCACTAGTTTGGTCATCATTTAGCGAACTTCCATTAACCACAGGGTCGGGATTTGTTTTTCTTCTCCGTTTGTTATGACCGGCTAATCGTCTCCGGCAACTTCTCTTCCCTTCATCAAACTCTTGAAGGACATGAAACCTGCCATTATTAATTGACAATGTATTAGACTCTAGATGTTGATTGAGGCATCAAAAAACTAAAGACCACTCATTTACTTCCTAATCAAGACTCTACAAACCATACATGGAAGAAGAGAAGAAAAAGCTCACCGACTACACTGCTGACAGAAACGTTGCAAGACATTGCCAACAAGCGCCTTACAGGCCTTGGAATGCATCTCGCAAACCTTATGCCTTCGGTGGTAATCCTTAGCGCTGCTCAGATCAGCACCGCAGTCTTCGACCTGACAAACTGCGCGGCTCGAAGAACCCCCAGCAGCCAATTTAGTCTTCTTCCCACTGGTTCCCTCCCAATTATTAACCCCCACTTCCCTTTCAGAAGTTTGATTATAAACACGCCCTCCTCCTCCAAGCTTAAGAGTAAGAGTACCAGCTTCATCACCATCATTTAAATTGTCTTCTTCCTCAACCACATTAACTCTTCTCCTTTTCTCTACCATCAATTCCCTCTTCCCTTTCTCAATCATCCCCAGATTCCCACCCTCCGAACACGACGACGAGCTGTTGGACGAACCCCCCGCCCCCGACCCAAGTGGGAAAAACTGTCTGCTACTACTGCTAGCCATGGCATGGGAGGAAGGTCCCACTCCCACTCCCACCACCGGATTCACCACAGAACTGGCGATGAAAAGGTCTCCATCCCATTTCCAATGGTTCAAATCCCATTCAAGATTCGCCCTTTTCGGCAAATCCGCAGTGCTCATGCCGTAGAAATGGTGAGCTTCGCCGCCAAATCTGGCCTCCATGGACGGAATCAAATCCCAATCTCTATAACAACTTATTAAAGATCCAACAATTTAACCAAAAAAAAAAAAAAAAACTAGAAACAGCAGTGAATAGTGAATTCAAAGTGACGGATCGGAAGCAGAATTGAAAGGAGGTAGGTTTTAATTAATCAGCTTAGGTTCTTCCCCAAAAATGGTGAAATAGTACGGAAACGCAACCATGATTCCAAACAAGGGCAACCAACATACCAAATTGAGCAAGTGAATCGTCGAATCTCAGCTCTCAGCAGCTGAATTTCCTCCCCCCAAAAAAAATAGACAAATTATATACATGTATAAATATGTATATATGTATCTATATATAGCAGTAGAGCAGGTAATGAACAGTTGAATTGAGAAAGAAAGAGTAGGACTGCTACTTTACCAGCTAGAGCGAGAAAGGGAGAAGAGAGAGATCGGCGGCGGTCGGAAGGTGCACGAAGGCCGAGGCCAGGGGAAAGTTCCGATGACGATGACGATGATGATGGAGACAGTGGTGGTGATGATGATGATGTGAGATGTGAAATGTGAAAGTGCGTGTGGGTAATGGAAAATGGGAAATAGAGAAGAAATGGTGGTGGGTGTGGGTGGGTTGTTATGTTATGTTATGTTTCGTTATGTTAAGTTATGAATGGAATGGGAAATGCTAGTCTAATCTAATAATACCAAATCAATCAATACTAACATTATCAACATGGGAATGAATGAATTCTATGGCAATGGGTCAATATGGCATCAAGTTAGAGATGCGGTGCACCGCATGTTACTTTAATCCTCATTCACCCAATCATAGCCCCCTCTCCGAAAACTACAAACAGAAGGGAAAAAAAAAAACAGTAATTGTAGAAGTAGATCACGATAATTTAAAACTAAAGAAAAAATAAAAATACAAGAGAGAAAGGAAGGGAGGCAAAAAATAAATAAATAAAATATATATATAATAGATTATTATATTAAATAAAAATGGAAAAAGTGGTGGGTGTGGGACCCACACGCCACTTGCAGAGCGCGTGGCCCACCCCCTTCCATCGCGATAAAAAAGAAGAGTAGGAAAGATGCCCCCCCCCCCCAAAAACCCACTCCAGACTCCACTTTTAGTACTACTGCCTGCCTCTGCCTGCCTTCTCAACGGGTTTTTATCCCCTGCTTCTGTGTCCTCCTTTTATTTGCTGCACCCCAGTTTACTCTGACACTTTGCCCTAAAATTTAACTCTTTGAGTTCACTTAATTTTATTTTCATCAGTAAATAATTCAACTTTTTAAAAAATATATATATATATTTGCTATGTATCATTAATTACTTGTATAGTTGTATTGAATTTAAATGATGAGTCCTAAGTCCTAACTGCTTTTTCCTCCTCTTTATCCTTTATTTCTTCCTTTTCCTACGCTCAGGGAGAGAACACGTTTTTATTACCTTTAAATCATTATTTTATTATTTTTCAGCTCACTTTTTTCGTTAAATTTTGGCTGTTTAATACTTCTACAACACGTATTCTTCGGTTTCTTCATTCCCCTGTTTCGTCATGCTCCTTTTTACTTTCAAGCCACCGAATTATGCACCCCTTTTTTAAGGAACTCTCTATAATTTTGTTTTCATTTAACCCTTTTCTTTTCTGTTTCCCTTATCTAATAGAATTTTTTTATTTATATAAAAAAATGGTATTTGTGGTAATAGTCACTTAACTTTCCAATGATTGCTATTTTAGTGAATTTCATATTTTTCCCCCCTTTTTCTAGCTCCGTCCAGTTTTATCTTTATTGGTCACACTTATACGTGTTGCTTGTAGTTTTATAAAGGCAATGAAATTAGTACTAAAAACAAACGCTATCTTTAATTTAATGTACTAATGATGTCTAATTGATGGTTGCAAATAATGCAATTGCCACAGTTGTAATAACTGCAACTCTCGAAAATTGCTTTCCAACTAATAATTAAACGTTTAGTAAAATTTCTGACAATTAGGTAATTATATAATTAGATATTTAATTTTTTAAATAAAACGTATTTCTTCGACTGAAATAAATATTACAAATATAAATTTCATAAACACAACTAAAATTGATACAATACATAATTTGTTTGTTTTGACTATTGAATATTTATTTTTTATGATTGCGTTTCAAAGTGAAAAATGCATGTGCAAGTATCAATCGACCAATGATTTAGTGTGAATAAATGCACGTCTTGAAAACTTTTGTCTAATGGGGCTCGACCAGGTACAAGATTTTTGTTGGCTTATGGAGAGAAAATAGTGATTTTTGAGGATGGGCCTTCTTTTTAAAAACAACAAAACAAAAAGGGCTGATGCCTGAATTGGCATTCCATGATATATAAAATGTTGGTGATTTGATCGATACGTGTTCGCCGACCACCCGGATGCATAGACCGATCACTGTTCAGATGATCTATAGCCAATCAATTCTCAAAATACTAATAATTTTCGTTCTTTTTGCCAAACAACTCGGAGTCGTCCCCCGTTCCATTCGAAGTTGATATCTGGCTTTAGAGCATTTGTTCGGACTGCCTGCAAGCCTCTGTGAGGCGAACAAGGGTTAAGGAGAATATTACACACTTAGTTGTTTGTTGGCACCCATCCTCACTGTTAGTACCGGTTTGAGTCTTTTAAAACTTTATAAGACAATATGAATAATGCAGAAACATAAAATAAAAGAACACGAGAGAAATGGTATCGCGGTTCGGTAACACCTTACTCCGCGGGGCCACGCCCAGATGATGAACAATCCACTAAGAACTCTTTTACAATTCAATTGGACTTAATCTACCCGAGACTCCCTCTCTAAGAATACGCCTATGAACTTACAATGTCCCAATGGACTTGAACAGCGAGATCCCCTCGACTTTTGAACATTGGAATCCCTCCAACTAAGTTTTTCTCCTGAAAAACACTCAAATCATCTCTATTGAATACAAGTGCTCACCTCTGTCTCACAATCCAACAAAAACTCATCAAAAGGCGTACAAAGACTTAAGGGACACTTTTAATAAATAAGCAAGCTGTGAATAGCTTGACACATCTTCAATTAATTTGCTGAACCAAATCTGTTGCAGATCCTTGTGTATCGCCCTGAAGAATTAATTGAGATTAATTAAGGTAATTGAGATTATTAGTGTGCCTAATCTGGATTATTAATTGAGTATTAATTAATAAATGTTTCTGACACGTGTGAGTTTAAATAGTTCCAAGGTATTTAAATTATTCTCAGTAATTTATTTTAAACCAGAAGTGTGTATGTGCGCATTTCTGGACTGCTCTTTTAAAACATTGTACACACGCAATTTCTTTTCCTTTTCCTTTTCTTTTCCTTTTCTTTCTTTCCTTTTTCCTTCCCGTGCATCTCTCCCTCTCACTCTATCTCTCTCACTCTCCCGTGCATCTCTCTCTCTCTCATTTTTGTCCCAAATCAAACGGATTTTGAACCAATGAAAGATTTAAAGAAGTTTTCAACGTCGAGACAAGGATTCGAGGTAAGATTACCGAAAGAACCTCTCTTGAATCTCAAGTTTTTGAATTTCAAAACTTATTTTTGGTTCAAACCGGATTTTGATAGTTTTTGAGTAAAACTAGGGTAGAAATTGGAGATCTTGGGTTCTTTTGGACTTGTTTTAAGACCTAGAACTCAGATCTAGTAGTTTTCTTTTGAAATATTTCGATTTGGGACTGGATTTGCAGGTTTTTAGACTGGTTTCCACGAGCTTCTCTCGCGCAGCTGATTCCACTAGTCGACCTGTACAGTCGACCGGATCACATGGAAACCGGTTGACCTATGCGGTCGACCGGATTGCAGGCTGACCGGTAGTGTTGCACTGCTCTATCACCGGTCGACCGGTGCACACGGGTTTGACCCTGTTTGGCCTGAAAAATACTGTTTTGACCCATGTTTTTGGGGAGAACCCAAATTAGCTTCATTTGGGGACTTGAGATAGATGGATTAGCATTGTTAATCCTTATTTTGAGAGCGAAAACCTTTGGAATGATAATTTGAAACATGAAAATGGATTAGGGCACACTAATAGGAAATCTTGGTTGGAAATTGAGATTGGATTGCTTTAGGAATGAGAATTAAACCTAAAGTGTTGTCTTGCATCAGTGATCGCTGAGGATTCAGACTGAAGGGGCTTGAGGAAGCGGAAGCCGGAAAAGGCAACGCTAGTCCCAGGTTTGATCGTGCGAGGTAGGATTTCTATCCCTTTTCCTTGTGAGCCTGTTTTTAAAAGGATTTTGGCCTTGAAAATATTTTAAAGAAAGGGATTGGCTTGCAAAAGAAAAATGCTTTGAAAACCATGGCTTGTTTAGTCATGGAACCTCATGGCTTGCCCAGTTATGGGGCCCGCGGCTTGAGTAGTTCGTGGGGTCATAAGAACAATTTCAGAAAAGTTAATGAATGATTTCTTAAGCAAAGAGATCTTGTGAACTGGTAATAGAGTCTATTGCTGTAAGCCTAGATAGGATGTAGAGAGTGTATCCTCAGGGGCAGAACCCGAAACTTGGTCCGGGTAGGCGAGGCACTTGGTTAGGTAAGTAATTTGTACTAATTACTTGCTGAAGCCTGTAATATGGAGATTTTATATTTATTTCCTTTGAGAAAAAGGATGTGAAGTTTCGACTGTCTGTTGGAACTGAATGTCTATTTATTTACGTACCCATTTATTTATTTTCTTGCACTTTATCTATTTATTTATTTTACGTCTTTGTAAATAACATCCTACTGGGCCTTTCGCTCACGTTTTATGTTTCAAATGTATTAAACCCCTCCCAGGAGACTCTAGGAGCAGTGCACAGTAACTGGATAATTGCTACGGAACAGCTGAGTTGTGCTGCTGTTGGAATCAAGAGATGATCATGGACAACCTCTTGGACAAATGTAAGGAAATTGAGAAATTCTGTAAACTTATGTAATATTTGGATTAACTAGACTGTGGTTGATGTCTGTTATAATGATTATTTACGTGAGCATGTATGTACGATACTGTATGTCCTATAGGGTGGAGCCATGTGTGTCAGAGGCTCCTGAATTCTGTAATTTATACATATTTTAATGCAGTTGAGTAGGGTTCGTCTGGGAATCTGCTTTATTAACCCATAATCGAGCTTCACGTTACCCATCCCGTTTGGGGGACGTGACACCTTGTTGCAACAATAACTGCAACATAGCTGTCACGGCCAACTTTCTCAAAACCAGACAAATCAATCTCCTTTCATTCTGAAATCTTCCCAAAACTGATAAACGAACCTGGACACGTTCTTAGGCGACATAGAAAGATCATCCAACTATGAAATCTCAATCAAGAATCAATCAAATCAATTTTCCATCTTTGAATCAATAGTTGACTTACAAAAATAGAAACTAAAACAAGTTTCCAGATCTTTTAGTAACCTTGCATAAAAAGCTAGCCAGCTGCACATCTATTTTCAAACACAATCAACCAGCCAAACATTCTCAAAATAATGCCAATCAAATACGATTAGAATCAATACACAAATTGGGAAACAAATCCCAACAATCTCCGGAAATAAATCCCAAAAATCTCCCTCTTTGGCATTGTTTTGGCAAAACTAATAATAGCAACTAAAACACAATACTTTTTGTAAAGTCAACCCGCACAAATCAAACCTACTAGACTACTTACTCCCCCTTTTTGACAAAAATAAGCTAAAAAATCTAGAAACTGTGCAACACCTCCATGCAAATCACGTTCCAATTCATT